TATTCAAAAACAATAAGGTGATAGCTTCAATGGGATTGAGATAGGATCCCAGCTTTCATCTGCTAAATGAAATGAAATTTTTTCTAAACAAACTTTTTCTTTTAAATACTCAAATTTTTACAGCGGAATTTATCAGTTTTTCTTGAGTTCTAATTCAGATTTTATAGAAAATGGTAATTTAAACTTAAATAAATTTAAAAAAAATGTGTAAAATTCCTAAAATATTAATGTATATTGACCTCATAAGAAATAGAATTTTTATTGAACCTCATTGAAAAGAAATGTCACTTCATGCAGCTATATTAATATATTTGAACCCCTTGCCTTTTTTTTATTTCATGCTTTTCTGGGCCCCCATGAAAACACTCTGGCCCCCTCCTGGCCCCCTGGTAAATTTGGTCTAGATCCGCCACTGTTCCTCCCCTTAACTAGACGTGGATATACTTTAGTACATTCTGCTGTAAAATTAGTCCTATATTTTTGTTATTTACTCGAGGATTGAACCTCTGCCATTTCACATGATGCACAGCTTTGAGTGGTAACTAGGTGACTGTCAGAGAGTAACCCGGAGAAACTCATCGGACTGATCCAATCAGCTCTCTGACAACCAGTCGCCTGGAACGCTGGTTGGACAGAGCATCGCTTTGGACAGAAACGCTGCACAGGTTTCACCAGCAACCTCCTCACACCCCGCTCTCTCTTGTTGTCAATCGCAGTAGTTCTAATCCGCACATGATGCACAAATTTTTGTACTGCCCGCTCTCACTCACATGAAAAAACACCTCACATAGTCTAAAATCCGGGATAATTTATCCGACTTGCGGGCATCCTTGAACAACTATCTATATCAGGGAGACTCCGGTAACTTTCGGGAGATTTGGGTTGTCTGCTTTTAGGTAACTGTAATTAAATCTTTTCTTAGGACATCTTTTTCTGAGCCATTGGACTTACTTCTAACAAGTTTCATTCAAATTTTAGAGCTCATCATAGCACTGAAACAGCTCTGGTGAAAGTCACGCATGACATTCTCATAGCTGGTTCTGTTAGATCTTACGCCTGCATTTTATAAAGTTGATCAAAGTATACTTTTAAAAAGGTTTTAAAAAGGGGAGCAGCACTAGACTTTTAAATGTTAATTCCTCAACAGATTTCAGTTTGTCCATGTTGATAACATCTTAACGCTCCAGGGTTATCTGTGGAATACCACAGGGATCAACACTAGGGCCAATTTTCGTGACTGTATATATAAGCTTCCAATTGGAATTATCTGACAGCATTGGATTAATTTCAGGTTATGCTGATGATACTCATAGGATATAAAAATCCCTTATTGTCCCATAAATTCAGATTGATTTGACCTGTTACATCAACTACTGACCCCTTACATCATCTACAGGCATATCTGCATTCAATTGGCCCCCAACAGTAACGTAAAAAAGCAAAAACAAAAAAACTTGGTGTTATGTTTGATCAGCATTTGTCATTGAGATCCTAAATTTAAAAAAGTTTCTATAATATGTTTCTATAATCTCTGAAATAATAAAAAATATTCTGTATAGGGGTGACACTTATAAATTATCACACATCTGTAACTTCAAGGCTGGACTATTGTAATTCTTCACTATCAGGATGTCCATAAACTGTTGTCAGGGGCAGATTTAAGAAATTTGGGGCCCTAGGCAAATAAGGCAGGGGGCCCTCTGAATTGAGAAGACAACACATAAAACAGCCCCATTCTACAGATAGAGAAATGTTAATAGAATAGACATCCATTATCTGTTCTAGGTTTTGTCCCTCTCTTCGTGTCCCTTTTCTTCTTGTTTTCCTCTCCATGTTTTGTACTCAGCTGACTTTTCATGCTGTCTCTAAAGGAATGAAAGATTTTTTCCAAGCACTAAGCTCACTTAGCTGATTGCTCCTTCCTGTGTTTCCAAAAAGGCAAAAGTAAATAACCCAGTCCTTCTTTTCACTGTAGACAAGCCATGATCTGCTTATCTGTTCTCCATTTTTCATTTGGATGAAATAATAGCTGCATGAATCATGACAGCAGACAAGATAGAGGAGAGCAGGAGGCGGGGTTACCAATCTACTCGCTCTGGAGAGCAGAGTTCGCTGCTTCTAGATGTTGTCGCCAAAGTCTCCAGTAGCAGAAAAAAGTCATTAGATTTGGCGCTAGGTGCTTTTTAGAAATCAAAGTGCTAGAGGGGTCTAAAAAGTCGCTAAATATAGCGACCAAAGCACTAAGTTGGCAACACTGCTCTGTGCATCGTTTGTTTTCAAATGGTTTGGTGCTGTCTGTTTGGACCTTTCTGAACATTTGCAGCAAATGGACTGATCCAATATGGTGGACACACTTAATATTCTAAGCGTTCTGATGGCATTTTAGTGAAAGGATTTTTATCAAAAACATGATTAATGTGCACAAATAAGGACTGTAGTTAAAAGCTGGTAATATTCTCAGTCATCCAGGTCACAGTCAGTTAAAAAAAAAACAAAAAAACTTTGTTTCCAAGTTTGAAGGCGTTTTGCTTCCCATCCAATAAGCTTTTTTAATTCAAAATATCAGAACTAGCGTTGAGTTGTAGTTAAAAGCCTTCAGCTGATCCAAAATGCCGCTGCCAGAGTTTTGGTAAAAGTTACAATGAGGGATCATATTTAAACTAAATTATCTCCACTTAATTTTCTCTTTTTAAAACAATTTATAAACGCAAGGTATTGATATTATCTTCATTCCTCAAAGCAGCTGGGAGGTGTGGATGAAAGCAGGCAGCAGGTGGCAGCACTGCGACATTCCTTTGGTCTGTGTGCCCAACCCGAAGAAGAAGGAGGAGAAGAAGAAGAAAGAAAACAACAAACGGGAAGTCTGACCCGGAATAACAAGATGGCAGGAAATGGGGGATTACAGGTATTGAAAACAGACAAAAAAACTAATTTTATTTAATTTTGCTCAGATTTCCATGAAGGTTTTGGAAGAAGCGGTTCATTAAAATATCCGAATGGATTCTGTTGGAGGATTTAAAACACGCAGAGATTTTCTGTGGACATCAGAGCATAAACGCTTCAAAGTTTAGCTTTTTGCTAACACTTTGATTTTCACCAATATTTTTTTTACAGTTTTATCGACAGGAATAATTTAGTTAAGTTAATAAAATGTGTTTTTGACGGAAATAAACGAGAGCTGCTGATGCTTTTGCTCGTTTGGATCAGTTTAATGATCGAACTCTGAAGACTGAGAAATAAAAGGTTTATAGAAGATATTCATGAAAATGCCGATGATAGAAATTTGTATTTTTATTAATATATATGTACCCTCCATAATGGGTCTGCCATATGTTCTAGCTACAAAAGATTTGTGCTTTGATTCATAATAGAGGACAGGGTTCGGTCTATAGATCTAAATCAGGGGTTTCTTAACCCTGGCCCTCAGGGGCCACCGTCCTTCATGTTTCACACATGTCTCACTCAAATGCTGCAAAAACCTGATGATTGCCTTTTCATTCAGGTCAGGTGTGTGAAGGCAGGACATTGGGCCCCTGAGGGCCAAAGTTTAGAGACTCTGATCTAAATGACCTTCAGGCATCTGCTCATCAGACTGAACTGGACCTTTAATGATCACATCCAAGCTTTTAAAAGATGCTTTCTCTCTGCATTCATCTGGTTCTGTCTGTCTGAGCTCACCTGCTGTTTTATTTTAAATGGAAATCATTGGTGATCATCGGTGTGGTTATTTTGGGGCCTTTTGTTTTGCCGCTATCACTGCTTTATGCAAAAATTTCTTCTGTGGAGGTCTGCTCAGGCAAAGTTCTGTAGAACCTGCTTTTTTTGTGGACCAGGGCAGAAGTGGAAGATAAAAAGTAGTTTGCAGACCCCATTGATGGATAGAGGGATGCTTTATTGTTGCTGCTGTAACACAACACAAGACAAGCCTGTTAAATCATAACGTGATTCGTATTGACCTGAACCAGGTTCCATCTACTTGACAAAATGTCCTCATGCTTGGTTCTAAGAAGCCTATCCTGTGATCTCACTGAGGAGCACAGATGACCACTAAAGCCTGTACTCTGGTAGGTAGGGTTGTCATCAGGCTAAAACTTTAAAATCTATTTCAATACCCAATAAAATAATTGTTCCTCGATACCATGGAGATGGAAAAGTAAAAAATACTAAAGCTGAAACTAACAATTATTTTGCAAATCGATTAACCTGTTTTTTTTTTTCAGTGTATCAATTAATAATCAGATAGCCAATGGTTCCTTAAATAAGACCTTTTTACGAAATTAAACCAGGTGAAACTAAATATTTTCCTCTTGAGGAGTTCTGGATGGAGCAGATTGTCAGACGAAAAAGTTATGTGAAATGCAAAATGTTTTGGACACTTTTTTTTTACAATCTTGGTATAATTACTGCTCTCAGTGGGTCGCTCTGTCAGCTAAAGGCATGTTTTAAAGTCTCTCTACTCCAGTTAACATTTGATCAATTAATAAATTAGTTGACGATTATTTGAATAATTAATGAATCACGATTACCCGGTTCGACCCCCACTGCCTGCACTCTGGGTCTCTGAGCAAAGACCCTTAAGCCTGCACTGCTTCCCGAGCGCCGCACAATGGCAATGGCTCCCTAAGAGGATGGCTTAAATGCAGAGGTGAATTTCTCCAATGTTAGATCAATAAAGTCCAGTTAGTATTAATCAGATTGTTTCACCCCAACAAAAATATTTTTATCTATATTAATAAGTCCCCCTTTTCAATCTCAACATGGAACAGGCTTTGCCAACAGAGTCACATACGCTAGTTAAATAAGTGTGCAAATAAATGCAGAAAATATCATCCAAATTGAACATTATTTGACAATACTTTAAGTTTACCTCAATGTATTATTTTAATCTGCCTGTAATTAAAATTAACAATAGCAAATATTTGCAAGGAACACCCTTTAGTATTGAAATTATGTCAAATTAGTGTTGGATCCACATGCAGCTTCTTATTATTGATATTTATTGGAGTATTTTTTGACAACCCCAGTGGTAGAGATGTTCAAAATGTTAAATGTGAGTTATTATTAGTAATATCTATGTTAATATTTGAATAGCTGCCCCAGAGCTCAGATTTACACGGCATCTATTCAGAAGGTTGGTTGGGATCCCTTTTTTTTTTTTTGGCTTTAGTTGCCCTTATTTTTGTTACGATTAACCTCCTTTACATGATGCGCTGCCCAGAGGCCTGCAGGCAGTTTGGATGCTATCAGGCTGTCCATGCACAGCTTTACAGAGTTTATTATTTTGTGCAGTGCCCAGACTGTCCCTAAACTACCAGTGCGACTTCTCCTCTAAAACTCATTCACTGCAAACAGGCTGGAGCCTCTTCAGATACAAACACACTTATAGACTGGAAGTATATAAACTAGACATGTAATGTGTGGCAGGTGATCAGAGGCTGAAGTTTTAGAAAAGTTTGTTACTATTGAGATGCCTTCCTCACATCCAGCCGGTGTTGGTCATGCTGGGACTGTTGGTCAGACGTCCGTAGGTCTGAGGGGAGACCAAGGTCTGCAGGTTCAGCCACTGTGGGCCGTTCTTATTGTTGATCTGTTAAGTTATTGAAATATCTCTCCACCTTTCTCTGATGGTTGTTCTTCTGAAGGTTGCGTGATTGTTGCTGTCCGTCTGGTGGCGGCCGTCCCTCTGCTTGTAGCTGTATCTCTGATGGTTGTTGTCTATGTGATGGCTGTAACCTTCCTCTGGAATACTGTGGAGGTACGTACTGACCGCTCATCTCTGTTGGCAGGAATCAGGCCTGTAACTCCGACTTCAGCATCTTGAGCAGCTAGACGACCGCGGGGTGCTCTGCCACCATCAGCATGAACCTCCAACAGCCCGGCCCTCTCATCCCCGCCCCCGTTCATCCTGATGTTGAGATGAAGCCGCTGCCCTTCTATGATGTGCTGGACGTCCTCATCAAGCCCTCAAGCTTAGGTCTGTTGTTTCCAGGTTCCTTTTTACAACAGGAGATAAACAACTTTATTCCTGACTGGAGCTCTAAGTCTGACAGGTCTGATGTGATTAAGGATGTTGGGACCCAATATTGATGCTTTTATTTTGAAACTAGTTTTAAAGTGTTGGATTGCACTGCAAAAAAGGATATAGATTTAAGTAAAAATTTCTTTAAAATAAACATATCCTTAATTTCAGAAGATTAAATGATCTGCATATTGAATGAGTTCTAATATTATGCTCTAGATAGGATAATAGTTTTTTCTTATTTGTAAATAGTAAATCATCTTACAAATTGTCTTGCATATCTGCTCAAAACAAGGGAAAAAAAACATATTTCAAGCAAAAACAGAGTTAAAATAAACTTTTGGCAGTAAATAAACTAGATGTTAAAGTTAACGCTGCATGTATTTTAGTATTTATTGTGTCCTGTGTTTTAACTCGCCTTCTGATGTTGATTAGTTGGAAGTTTAGGTTGGATCAGCAAACTGCTCTTCAACATATATTAGAGGTCGACAGGTACAGGTGTTTTAAGACTGATACTGATTATTTTAAATCATGAATCGATCCACAATGGTTACGCTGTTGCTGGGTTAGTTTATTCCTGTTTTTGGACCCGATGTTGTTTTGTTTTCCCTTCACCTACTGATAAAAATGGTAACAAAAATGACACACGCCTTAATTTAAAAACCAAAGGAAACATTTATAAAGTAATGAAACACGGAAGGTGATTTTTAAGAATCAGAACTCGTGCGTGTTTGAACCAATGCTGATGAAAGAATAAATCGATATCGGCCCAAAATGTCCACCGGCCAATGCATCAGTCTAATTTACCAAATGACTGCTCAATGTTTCCAGGAGCGAGTACTTCACAGAGGTACCATCAAGAGAAATACTTCATTTTCGCGCTGACACCACAGCAGGTCCGAGAAATCTGCATCTCCAGGTACGCTCAGGTCGTCTCCATCTTGTCTCTGTGGAGGTCTTGGACTATTTTTTAAAAATGCTGCTGTTTCTGTTTTCCAGGGACTACCTGCCAGGCGGCAGGAGGGACTACATGGTTCAAATTCAGCTAAGGTCAGCGCTCCACACCCTTCTGTTCATTTTATACTGATCAACGAAAGAGATGAATGCATTTAGATTCCTGTTTCCTACAGGCAGACATTGGTAGTATTTCAGCTGCTCCCTAGAAACGAAAAATAAACATTTATCAATAGTTTTTAAAGTTCAGATCCAGAAGTAATGATATGCAGCTGAGGTTTAAGATAGGTGGAAGACGCTGCGCAGAAAGCGGAGGTTAATCCGCCTTTAATCCAACATTTTGTCACAATAACAATCTCAGGTTTTTCATCTGATAATCATCAAACTCTGAATTTTACCACAAGGCAGTTTGGTTTTAAAATATTTTACTAATTTTTAGAACCAGTACAACAATCGGCAGGGAACATGTTAATGATTCATGTTTTAAATTTATCTGACTGAGGTTTGTGTTTCAATTCAGTTCAGTCAAGGCACTTTAAAAAAAAAAAAATTCAACCAGATCATCCAGTCAAATTGATTCAAAGTTTCTATCTAAGGAAAACCAGTTGATTGCATCGACTCATTGACTCGAATGCAATCCTTCACACACAACATGCTTGTAGCGACAGTGGAGAGGAAAAACTCCCTTTTAACAGGAAGAAACCTCCAGCAGCTCCAGGCTCAGTGTGAGCTGCCATCTGCTGAGGCCGACTGGGGTTCAAGGAGACAGAAGCAGAGACACAAAAGGAAACTATAAACCAGCTCCATAGGCGGCCCCGTCCGTCCGTCCATCCACCTGTCAGTCCATCCATCTTTTTCTGCTTATCCGGGGTCGGGTCGAGGGGGTAGGAGCTTCAGTAGGGAGGCCCAGACGTCCCTCTCCCCAGCCACCTCCCTCGGAACGTGTTCAAAGCTCTGCCCGAGATGGGAGTTAAAGCTCCTTCTCACGGGGGAATCTGCCAGACGTTCCCACCAAACCCTCACAATACTTTTGGGCCTACCAGATCTGACCGGCGTCCTCCCCCACCATCGGAGCCAACTCACTACCAGGTAGTGGTCGGTGGAGAGCTCCGCCCCTCTCTTTACCAGAGTGTCCAAGACATGCGGCCGCAGGTCAGATGAAACAACAACAAAGTCGATCATTGAACTATGGCCTAGGGTGTCCTGGTGCCAACAGCACATATGGACACCCTTATGCTTGAACATGGTGTTCGTTATGGACAATTCATGACAAGCACATAAATCCAACAACAGAACACTGCTCGAGTTCAGGTCAGGTGGGCCATTCCTTCCAACCACGCCTCGCCAGGTCTCACTGTCATTGCCCACGTGAGCGTTGAAGTCCCCCAGAAGAACAAGGGAGTCTCCAGTAGGGGCACTCTCCAGTACCCCCTCTAAAGACTCCAAAAAGGGTGGGTAATCTGAACTGCTGTTTGGCACATAAGCGCAAACAACAGTCAGAACCCGTCCCCCCACACGTATGCGGAAGGAGGCAACCCCTTTGTTCACCGGGGTGAACCGCAACGTACAGGCACCAAGATGAGGGGCAACAAGTATGCCCACTCCTGCTCAGAGCCTATAACCAGGGGCAACTCCAGAGTGGAAGAATGTCCAGCCCCTTTCAAGGCGGCCCCATCCAGGAAACAATCAGCCAGGCAGATGAGCTCCGAGCCAGCTTCCATGTCAGAGGATGAAGAGAGCACATCCAGCCAGTCACAGTCAGAGAAACAGGACTACACTGAAAAATAGGCTGAGCTAAAACGTCTAACAAGAACAGATCAGATGAAGCTACTATGAGAAAAAGCAGAGAGAGCGGAACGTTAGAGATTGATCTAACAAATTCTGCAGAATAGGAGAATAGAGATAGAATGATGAAAAAGGGGTCCCTATGTCCTCCAGCAGTCAAAGCCTATAGCAGCATAACTATAGAGATAGCTCAGGATAACCTGTCCACTCTAACTATAGGCTTTATTAACTCTTTTTAGAAAAGAACATTGGGGTGAACATGAAACGTTTCCAAAGCATAATTCATGAAATATAATTCATCCCTTTTGCTGGAATGATAACTGAGCTTAATTGCCTGAGATTGATTCTATTTGATTAAAACATAATCTGTGGGATTAGATTGGATTGGATTAGATGAATGTCAGCATATTACCCGAATCTGACGCATTAAGTGCCTTGATGATATTTATTGTAATTAATCAGGATACTGATGCTGAATTAAACTTTTTTTTTTATATTACAGTATTCTTTAGGTTTAACTTCTGATCAGGATTCATATAAGAAAATCTTTCACCTTCCAGGTTCTGCTTGGCGGAGACTAGTTGTCCTCAGGAGGATAATTTCCCCAACAGTCTTTGTTTGAAGGTCAACGGGAAGCTTTTCCCTCTGCCTGTAAGTTCTTCCTCTCCACCCCTGCAGGAATATTAACACCAAAGTTTCTTGGAGGAGAAAAAAAAAAAGAAAAGGCTCCCATCTTCTCTTTCTGCAGGGCCTGGCCCCCCCACCGAAGAACGGAGTTGAACAAAAGAGAACAGGAAGACCTCTAAACATCACCAGCCTGGTGCGGCTCTCCTCCGCCGTGCCAAACCAGATCTCCGTGACGTGGGCTCCAGAAATCGGAAAGGTGAGGCCAACTGGTCTGAACCAGGCCTGCTGGTTGGACTGGATTCTGTCCGTTTCCACTGGAACCAAAAAGGCTCCGATTGTGAGGAACCTGAACTTCAGTGTCTCAGTTGGGGAAATATAAATGAAGCCAATTTAAGTTAAAGCTGTTTTAATGTATAAATTTCTCTTTACATTTCTAAATATCGAAAAGCAGGAAAATATATATTGTTTTTTTAAAACCGTAGGAATAAAAACATGAAAAATAATTACCGGTAAGTAAAAAAATGGATATATCATTATAAAAAAACTTGCCTCTCAGTAGAATAAAATGTTGGTTGAATAAGTGTCCAAATACATGCACAATGAATAACCCAAATACAGCACTGTTTGACCATATTTAAAGGTTATCTGTGGTTAATTATTTGATATGAACATAATCTAGAAATCTAAAATTAACAGCAGAAATATTCAAACTCATGTGAGTTTCTGTATCTGGATAGGACTTTTTAGTATCGATACCTTTCATAGATATTCTTGTCCATGCTATAGATTGCTTTTGAAAGTACTTTATTAAAGCACAGCCATAGAAAGTTGAGTGGAAGGACAAAGTGTGTTAGGAATGGGCAGCTGCAGCCCTGAATATCAGCAGAAATCTATTCAGCTTTAAAAGAACAAGGAGGCCGTAAGCCAAAATGAACCAAACAGCTAAAATTAAAGGTTTACTTTGGAACCTAAAGAAACAGGATGTAGGAATACTTTCTATGTAATGTGTGAAAAGGTTTACTCTGTCTGCTCAAACGTTCTCCTTAAGCCCCTGTCACATCTTGCAGATTTAGCCTGCGTATGCCTGATGTCCCCGAATCTCCTAAAACGCTGGCATACGGGGAAATGTGTTTTTTCAATTTTGGGCGTATAGAGTATTCATAACGAGTCCAGAACCTCTGTCCAACGGCGGCCTAACTTATGCATCATGCACGGCAGCGTAATGCCCATGAAATGATACACAAGCCAGTGTAATAGGGGGGCAGCGATGCGCCCGTCCAGTAGCTGGAAGTTAGAAACACATTCAGCGCTCGTCTGGAACACGTCAGATACTTTGATATGTGTTGGAGAGAAGTTCCGGTTAACCATATGTTATGCAGAAGTTACTCGGAGGTTTAGGATAAGCTAGACTCCACGACTGATAAGTAACTGACACTGAACTTATGTCAACAATCGGATAACTTACCTGTAACTAATGCCCTAAGCATGGCATACGCTGGAATACGGGATTACATTTTCTGACGTACTTGCTGTAGTTGATGTGTGCTG